CAAATATTCTCCTTTATTAATATAACTGGTCGCCCAGTGACTGTTGGAAGTTATAAAGAACCCTTCAAAAGGTACTTAACAAAGCATTTTGACCAATAATTTAGTATCGTGTTGGAACTAACCATCGGCCATTTCTGGAAAGAAGACCAGGAAAGTAATTTCCAATCCCCGTTGAGGTCTCACAGTGAATAGCCAGAGAAAGATGCTTGCAACTTTTGGGGATAATATATGACCTTCAGGAAACATAATTATTGTTGGTCTCATGTGAAATCAGTCGTAATGTTTGACAGACCATTGAACATGGCTTCGAGTGAGGTGTGAACTCACTCAGTTGTGTTTTATTCATACTCAAGCCATTGCCTTGAATCACACACCAGTTAAACAGGTATTGCAAAGCACCAGGACGGGAAACAACGGATGGAAACTAATCCAGGAGAGAACCAATCCGAAACTAAGGAGAAATTTCCTGGCAGTGAGAACAATTAACCAGTGGAACTACTTGCCTCCAGAAGTTGTGGGTGCTCCATCACGGGATGCTTTCAAGAAGAGACTGGACGACCATTTGTCCGAAATGTTAAGAGGGTCTCCTGAGCTTGAGCGGGGGGGGGGGTAGACTAGAAGACCTCCAAGGTCCCTTCCAACTCTGTTATTCTCTTCCGTTATTCATTGCTGCTTCTCATTTTCTCTAGCAAGCTCACATTATTTTTCCAAATCTGAGACAGAAGAAACCTTTACAAAAAAAATATGTCCAAGTCTTTTTTGCCCTCGGTACTGTGCGTCCTGCTGCTTTAAGAAACAAATGTAGCTTTTCTCCTGCAGGACCAAAGAATGGTAACTCCCTTCCAACATCTGGTGATGTTTTCAGAAGACACAGCTGGTCAGAAGGGGGCAGAATGGACTCAGCCAGACCTTCAAGGTCGCTCCTCAAATAAGCCAGCCACAATGGGCAATTATTCTCTCTGTTTTTTTTTTAAGTTTTGACCTTCCGTGTCGGCAGGTGCTGTTTTTGTAATTCTGAAAAGCCAGCCAAAAAAGTTTGTCCGGCATTTGGAACACGGCTGCGAAATGTTCTGTAATTCCCTAATCCCAGCCTGTCCGCTAAGGGAACACATGCACTGTTTGGTTTTTTTTAGAGAAAAGTGTTCCTTTTTCTTCCAAATCCTGTGCCTGATCCTTCTCAGCCCTTTTGGAGGGCGGGAACCAGCTCTAATCAAATCACTAGAATTCTTTTTCTTCATGGAAGACACGCGTTTTGTGCTAGCAAACACATTCGCATGCACAGTAAGTGTTCAGAGTTGCAACAGCACTGGAAAAGGTGACTTATTCACACTTTTTCACACTTAACCACCATTGCAGCATCCCCGTGGTCACGTGATCAAAATTTAGCCACTTAGCAGCCGACTCGCGTTTATGACGGTTACAGCGTCCCGGGATGACGTGATCCCCTTTTGCGACCTTTGGACAAGTAGAGTCAAATGGGGAAACCAGATTTCCCGAACAACTGTGTTGCTAACTTAACAATTGCAGTGATCCACCAAAAAACTGTGGCAAGAAAGGTAAAAATGGGGCAAAACGTTAACAACTGTCTCACTTAGCAGCATAAATTTTGAGCTCAGTTGTGTTCGTAAGTTGAGGACTACCTGTATTTATTATTTTAATTTGTACGGCCATCCACTCATCGTGCAAGCCTGGGTTTCAACAGGGTGTTAAAAGCCACTGGAAAAAATACAACAGAAACCGGAGAGATGGCTGCCTACCTGACACCCTAAAATTTGGAGTTTTTCTGCTTTCTGGAAGACACTGAGCGATCACGCCAGTTGCTTGCCTTCCCTATTCAAAATGTCTTTTCCTGCTCCTTACGGTTTTCAAGGTTTCAAGATAGCATTATTCCAGACTCTGCGGGTCTCTCTCTCTCTCTCTGTGTTTATCCTCCTTCTCCTGCTGCAATGACTTTGAATAGTTTCTGCTGATTAACGGTTAATTGCATGGTTTCGGAGAGGGTTTAACTCTGTGCTTTTCAACCTTGAGCAGGGGGTTGGACTAGAAGACCTCCAAGGTCCCTTCCTGCCCTATCATCCTATGAATCTACTCCTTGGTAACTTTAAAATACGTGGACTTCAGTTCCCAGAATTCCACAGCCATCTTAAAAATGGCCAAGGTAGAGTAGAGTAGAATAGAATAGAATAGAATAGAATAGAATAGAATAGAATAGAATAGTAAAATACAGAATAGAATGGAATAGAATAGAATGGAATAGAATAGTAAAATACAGAATAGAATAAATAGAGAAGAGAAGAGAGAATAGAATAGAATAGTAAAATACAGAATATAATGGAATAGAATAGAATAGAATAGAATATGAACAGGACAGATTGGAATCCATGAGCTTTTGATTGCTTCTGATTTTTAATTTTATAGCAAAAAGTCTGTTAAAGTTTTTCACTGGCTATGGTTTTTTTTTTTTTTTCTTGTATGAAATTTAAACAAGAAGTTTCATGAGGTTTCTTAAGTTGCAGATTTGACTTCTGTCAAACTCTGGGACATTTTATGAACAGCTTTTTTTAAACTCCCAGTATTTAGTGTCGCCTGGTGCCTATATATGCAATCCACCTTCGTGTTAGCTCAAGTTACACATCCGTTGCGGTTTGCCGGTTTTGTCTCCGTTCTTCCGTGTATTCTGACTATATTGCATTACATTCACATGCTCTGAACGTTTGAATTGAAAGATATTAAATGCACAGATTTATTCCAAGAAAAGAGCAGCAGAAGAAAGAAAAAAGGATGGCAAACCAAACAGAAACACCCCCCAATCAATTTGGTTGTTCAACCTACGTGAGAACACGACAAAAGAGGCACGCTGGCTGAGGAATTCTGGGAGTTGGAAGTCCACAAGTCATGAAGGGACCATAGTTCCCCCATGCTGGCTGAGGAATTCTGGGAGTTGAAGTCCAGCAGTCATAAAAGGGCCACGTTTGAAGGCCCCTGGACTAATTTAACAACTTCAGTGATTCATTTAACCACTGCGACAAGAAAGATGACCAAATGGGGCAAAGCTCCAGTGTTTTGCTTAGCAACATCAATGTGGGGGTCTATTGTGGTTGTAAGTTAAGGACTTCCCGTAGTTGACGGGAACCTTTGGAAAAGTTCTGGAAAAGATGACTAAGCCAGGTCTGCGGAGATCTGAGCTTTTGAAATTGAAACCTACCTAATCTCTCTCCTTTCCCAAGCAATGCTTCTGAATTCTCACAAACTGGAATTGTGATGCAAGACTTGGCATGTCCTTTGCCACTTCCCCTTTTTGGGTTTTTGTTTTTTTGTTCCATTTTCCTCTTCTTCCCCTCTTGTTTTTCTTTCCGCCTTTACCTGGGCTTCTGGGTGATCTGAATCTTTTCTCCAACCTGATGCCCCACAAAAGGGATTGGGGACCTCATCTCCCAAAGGCCGGTGCCAACTGTGTCGGAGAACGAATGAACGGCCCAGCGTAGATGCTCCCAGAATTGTTTTTTTACTACAGGCTTGCCCTTCAACACGCAGTTTCTTCTTCTTCTTCCCTTTCACAACCCCTACAAGGCCATAAATATCTTGATTGCACAACTCCCTTTTCTGCAGCAGAGTCATAAAAGAGACCCATGCAAATGAACATGGAAATTTACCCTGGTGTTGAAACCTTCCTGTGTGTTTGTTTTGCGGTATCACTTCGTCCTGTCCATGGGAAAAATAAAACAAATAATAGTTTAAAGATCTGCACCAACTCTGGCCATTTAGGTTTTCCTTTGGGACAGTTTAATGCACAAAGGGATTGCCCAATGGGAAATGCTGAGTGCAATTTGGGGGAGGGGGGGGGCTTTTGAGAGAAAAGAAATGGATAAACAGAGTTGGAAGGGACCTTGGAGGTCTTCTAGTCCAACCCCTTGCTCGAGCAGAAGACCCTATATACCATTCCGGACAAAAAGCTGTCCAGTCTCTTCTTAAAAGCCTCCAGTGATGGAGCACCCATAACATCTGGAGGCAGGTTGTTCCACAGCCTGATTGTTCTCACCATTAGGACATTTCTGCTTAATTCCACGTTGCTTCTCTCCTAAATTAGTTTCCATCCGTTGTTTCTTCTCTTGTCTTCTAGTGCTTTGGAGAATGGCTTGACTCCCTCTTCTTTGGGGCAGCCCCTGAGATATTGGAGCAGTGCTTTACATTAGAAAAGCGGATGGATGGATGGATGGATGGAGAGAGAGAGATGATAGATAGATAGATAGATAGATAGATAGATAGATAGATAGATAGATAGATAGATAGATAGATAGATAGATGATAGATAACAACGGTGGGAAGAAAAGTCATAAAGTGGGGCAAAGCTCATTTAACAAATGTCTCACTTAGCAGCCAGAAATCTGGGGCTCCATTGTGGTCCTAAGTCCAGGACTTGCCGTATATATTTATAGCTGTTGTGCAAAAACACACAGTCTGTTGCAGCTTCAGGTCCAATGAAGACGCTTAGCTCTTCCCGTTGCGCAGAGCTCCACGGTCCACTCAAGTGTCCTTGATGCTTTGCAAGGAGCGGTGTAGCTAATCCTTCTGGATCGTTTGCTGATGGAAACCATCCAGCCTCCGCAGCTCATGTCAACTTTTATACTTTCCCAAAGCCATTAAGGTTGGCTTGGCAATCTTCTCTCCTCCACTTTGCAGCTGTTGACAGTGTGCTTCATGTTTTTATCACCCTCCATGCAGACAGCCTGGTGTTGGGTGGGATGAAGTCCAGGGCTGCTTCCCTTGGCTTCCTCTTGAGCCACAAGGTGGCAATATTAGCTGCTGAATGAATCCGTCCTTTGGATGCTGGCCCTTTTGGTAAAAGTCAGGAAGTGGTTCCGCTGAGGTTCTGGAGATGGTTGCCTTCAGAGAGCCACATCGGGGACCTGTCTTCCAGAACCTATTAGGTTGAAACGCATAGATTGTTTGTGATCTCTGGGGGTGTCCCCTTCGCTTAATGCCTCTGCCTCCCTTTCCAGGAAACCTGCAGGAAATGCCAGGGCCTCTGGAAGGAACACATGAACCTCACCTGTGAACAGCTGGCCGAAAAGGATGACATCAAATACAGGACGTCCATGTAAGTATCTTTAGTGCTGGGACGGGGCGAAGAAAATAAACCTCACTCCATCCAGATGTCAACAGTTTCGCAAATGTTGCTCTGAAGTACTAGCATTTTGCTTCTTGACCATTAAAGAACTAGAAGCCTGGTCCTGTAGCACCTTCTCTGGGGGACACAGTCTATTAAAAGGCACACACTTTGGCGCTTTTCCTGATTTTTCTTTTTGTGTCCTTAGACTGACTTGGCTCTGTTCCTAACTTCTCCGTGACCTGTTGAAATTTGAGTAAGGAGACTGGTACTTTTTTCTCTCAAGGAATTGGCTTCTTTATACAAAGTGCCCCTGGGAGGGAGGGGGGCAGGGAGTGAGACGAGGGAGGGAGGAGAGGGAGCAAAGAAGGAAGCATGGAGAGAGGAAGAAAGAAAGAGGAAGAAAGAAAGAGGAAGGAAGGAAGGAAGGAAGGAAGGAAGGAGAGGGGGGAAGGAAGGAGGGGGGAAGGAAGGAGAGAGGGAGGGCAAGGAAGGAAGGAGAGGAGAAGAAAGGAAAGGAGAGAGGAAGGAAGGAAGGAAGGAAGGAAGGAAGGAAGGAAGGAAGGAAGGAAGGAAGGAAGGAAGAAGAGAGGAGAGAGGTCTTTAGTCTTCTTGACCAGCTGCAGCAGAAGTCAAAATCTCCTCCTCCTTACTACAAGCGTGGAAACCTTTGTGCCATTCTGAGCCGAGAGCGCGGCGGGGGGGGGGAGAGATACTTGAAGCCCCTTCCATTAGCTGGATGGGTGTTCTGAAAACACGATGCTGATCTATAAGGCACTAGAGCACATTTCCAAAGCAGCAGAGAAGAGAGCAAAAATCTCATGCAAAGAAGAGAACCGAAGAAAGCTGGTGCAATAGAACAAACGGGACATTCTGTTCATGTGGCCTGGATGCTCTTGGGAGTGATCTGGAGAAAAGAGGCCAGAACTTTTGCCTGCCTGATTACTGGGCTCAGAAAGGGTGCTAGGAAAGGGGAGTAAAAATGGCGTTGATGAGATGCCCGTTGTTTTTACGCCCATCCTGTTGTTCTGTCCTTTGCTCCCCATTGCCTTGCCAAACGACTTTAGATTATTATATATATAAAAAAAGACTTTTTTTTAAAAGCTTCCATCATGCTGTTCTTCCGCAGGTTATATTTATCCAGAGAGGGAGGGAATCTAATAATACACCCGTGTTTTGGCTTTATTTGTCTGAAGGAGAGGGGAAGGAAGACCTCGGTGGGGTATCCTTTTCACCGAACTGAGATCTCTTGGCCAACCGCTGGGCCCAGCTGAAACTTAGACAATGAGACTTCCTGTTTGAGCCAAAGGAAGAGGAAGCCCAGCTGGAGCTCAAGTCCACCTTCCTGCTTTGCTCAGGATTTCCTGTTGGGAAAGACCAGATGGGAATAGCGCCGAGGAGAACGGTGGACTTTGCGCTGACTTATTCTTTGCCCCGAATCACAAAGGCGATGACCGAAAAAGGAATGTGTTGCTTGTTAGGTACACTGAGCGCTTGTGCACCGGAAGCAAATTCCTTGGGTGTCCAATCCCACTTGGCCAATAAAGAGTTCCGTTCTATTCTAAATGGGATCTGGTGAAGGGCAGTTGGGCTACTGCAGAGAAGAGTTGGTAGGAATTGTGCTAGGAGACCTCAAAATGATCCTAGGATTGCTGTTCCGAATGCATTGTGGGTAGATTCCGTTTTCTTCCTTCCTTGCAGTCTCCTTTGGACTCTATGCAAAGCCTTCATTTGTTTTTTCCACTCTGCTAAATACAGTGGCTCTTTATTTTTTCCTTCTTTCTGCGCTCTGCGAGGTTAGGGACACTTCTGCCTTGACCACCGATGGAAACAGAGTTTGCATCTGAGGCTAGAAATTTGCACTCTATCTTGTTGAAAAATCATTTCCTGATCTTGTTTCCTGATCGTTGAGAAGAGCCCCCGCTTATGTGTTTTCCTAAGTGAGGGGGCTAGCACTGTTCTCTTTTTCCCATCCTGCTCTGCAAGCCAGGGCGGCTAACAATTGTTCTGCAAAGAGAAGATTGCAGAGTAGCCCTTTTAACAACTCTAGTGGTAGCAGAACCCAGTCGGTGTGGCTGTTTTCATAAACTGTGATCAGAACAATGTGGCTTAGTGCAGAAACAAGCAACTTGATAGCTTTAGAGAAAGAGGACTGAGGTTCTCACACAAAGGGACTGGACCATTTCTTGCACCTGAGTTGAGACAGGATGTTTCACCATTTCCTGAGTTTAGTGGGTGGGGAATTTTTATTTTTAAACCAATTTATAAGGCTTAGATCAGTGATGGCGAACCTTTTAGAGCAGTGGTTCTCAACCTGTGGGTCGGGACCCCATTTGGGGTCGAACGACCATTTCACGGGGGTCGCCAAACAACACAGTCCGCCATTTTTTTCCCCCTTTTCCTTAGCTGTGCTACTCCCTTTTATTCTATTGGCTTTTGAAAGCCAATAGAATAGACTCCCTTGAATAGAGTCTAATTCTATTGGCTTTCAAAAGCCAATAGGAATTGTCCAGGCTGTCTCTGCCCTGCTGAGCCCGCCAAAAGTCCCATTCTGCAAACGGTGCTGCACCAGTTGAGTAGTCCTCGACTTACGACCGGTTGGGGGGGTCGCGGCATTAAAAAGGTTGAGAACCACTGTTTTAGAGACTGAGTGCCCAAAAACTGGCCCCGCCCCCACTCCACCGCCCCGCCTCCTGCTCTGCCCCCCATCCCCTGCCCACAGGACCACTCACCACCTCCAGGGCCCACCACAGATCGCCCAGACAGTCCAGCAGTGCTATGGCAGCCACACCTTCTGCCCACGCCTTGCAGCATCAACTGCACGATGGGGTGTGAGGGCAGAGTCTTGTCTACGCTGCCTGGCTGCCATGTCTTTATCTGTGCTGCTCCGTGTGGGCCACGCTCGAGGGCGACTCTCCTTCAGGGGGGCTGCTGGTGAGGGGGTCACGAGGGGAGGCAAGGCTGGGGCAACGGCACGTGTGCCCACAGAGAGGGTTCCGAGTGCCACCTCTGGCACCCGTGCCATAGGTTCGCCACCACTGGCTTACATGATAGCCTTCGACTATCTGCCGTCTCCAACTATGGGAAATTGTGTGGACAGCTTTTAATAGCTGTAGCTGGGTAGTGTAGAGGAGGGGGAAAGTAGGCTTGGAGACATCCCGGAGGGTTGGGGGGTTGCCATTAGCTGGGGAAAACAGGAAAGGGTGAGAAGGAAACTCAAGATAGTACCAGCTCGTGTCTCTTTAGTATAAGAGGGAGGGAAGGAGACGCTTTCGAGATTGTGTTGTCCTGCCACATAACAATAAAGTAGTTCTTGGGGGTCTGTTTCCTGATCTGTCTCAAAGGTGGGAGCTGCAGAAGGATTTAGAGATACATACAGTCCTGGAACATCCGTTGCACAAGCATGGCTGAGTGTGATACGAGAACTCACCCAACATGTATCAAAGGTCTGCAAATGCTTGAAATAGATAAGAGGCTCACAACAGACTCTGTAAACCACTTAGAGAGGGCTGTGAAGCACTATGAAGCGGTATATAAGTCTAAATGCAGTTCCTGCCTTCCTTCCTGCCTTCCTTCCTTCCTTCCTTCCTTCCTTCCTTCCTTCCTTCCTTCCTTCCTTCCTTCCTTCCTTCCTTCCTTCCCAGTAGTTAGAATGCAGGATTGCAGACTAATTCTGCCCACTGCCAAGAGTTCAATCCTGACCAGCTCCAGGTTGACTCAGCCGTCCATCCTTCTGAGGTTGATAAAATGAGGACCCAGATTGTTGGGGGCAACAAGCTGACTCTGTATCCACTTAGCGAGGGCTGTAAAGCACTGTGAAGTGGTATATTAGCCTCAGGGCTATGGCTATTGCTATTCTAAACAGGGTCTAGTGTTTGCAGACCATAGTAGCTCCAACTTCTTTGGCAGCATCCCCGTAACTAAGCAACGAGCAGCTCCGCTCGGTTGAAAACTGTTGGGTGGGGTTGGTTTCCCTGGCCCCTTTTCGCCCCCGCAGCTCTGCATTATCTCTCTGCCAAAAGTCACCATCTTTCTGCCGTTGGGTTTTCAGACCTTCCAGCCCAAAGTTTGCTGCCTGGCTGGTTCTCTGGGACACCAGCTTTAAGCCTGCAGAATGTCGATTGGGGATGAATGCTTAGACTTAATTGGTTTTCATCTGTACTTTTCTTTATTGGGCTATTTATTTCCAGCAAGCATATGGCCACCCACCTCCAACAAGTTACTCTAGGCAGCTAACTAACTGTAGATGGAAGACCCCTTTGAAAAAGAAACAAGGGTTGAAGAAAGCAAAAGGCAATTAAAACAATCTTAATGCAATCGTCAAGGCAGCTTGTTCATCCAGTCGCAACACTAAAGCACGCAAGCCGGACACCACTAACACTCTTGAAATGAGGGTCTTTCCAAGGATGGTGAGGGCCATCTCAGGGTGTCAGGCTGCTCCAGAAAGGAGATCTCCTGGGTTCCTTAGATCAGGGATCTCCAACCTTGGCAACTTTACGACTTGTGGACTTCAGCTCCCAGAATTCCTCAGCCAGCATCTAAGTCATCTAAGTCTCTTGTCTTAGATGACTTTGTTTCGGAGAAAGGATCTGGAGCACCCACATTTTTGTCCTAGGAGGCCAGACGGACTGAGATCATTAAATCAACAGCGGTTTTGGCAGCCTTGTTAGCTTTAGACGGAAGATACCCACCACGGGAGAAGGTTGTAGGGAGCCATGGAGATGACCTTGGAGAGACTCAGCCGAGATGATGGCTCCATAAACAAAAGCATGCTTAAGCCCAGGACACAGAAGAAGTCTGAGAAGAGCTCCTCCCTCATTCATTAGAGCCCTGTTCTTCAAACCTTGTGTGGACTTCAAGATGTGTGGACTTCAATTCCCAGAATCCCTCAGCCAGCCAGTGCTTTAATCTACTACACCTTGAGGTGCTCAAGGTTGAGAAATACTGCATTAGAGCATGGGAAGACTAAACACAGCCACAGTTCCAAGATTCTGTTACTATAAGCCTAGGTCAGTAAAGTAACTTTCCTAACCTGGCCTACCTTGAAGGGCTGACAGTCATTGAGTTAGTAGTTTCGTCCCATAGGTGGATTTTCTTTGAAAATGTTTTGCTTCCCATCCAAGGATCTTTTGCAGTCTCATTTCCGTTTCTCTTCTTCCTTTGTTCTCCCTTCACACCAGCTGGGGGATTCTGGGAGTTGAAGTCCACAAGTCTGAAAGCTGCCAAGGTTGGGAGACCCTGGATGAGGGATTCTGGGAGTTGAAGTCCACAAGTCTTAAGGTTGCCAATTTTGGAGACCCCTGATGCAGGTGAACCTCTTGACCAGCCCAGCTTCCAGCAGTCTTTTGGAAAATCAGCCATCTGGCACCTGAGCCATTGCCCACTTGAAGCCAAAATGTCCTCTTTCTAGCATCCACCTGACTCTTGCCCGTTGCCTTCCAGAGAAGAGAAGATGACGGCAGCCCGTATCAGGAAGTGTCACAAATGCGCCACCGGCTTGATCAAATCAGAAGGCTGCAACCGCATGTCCTGTCGTTGTGGGGCCCAGATGTGCTACCTCTGCCGAGCTGCCATTAATGGGTACGACCACTTCTGCCAGCACCCTCGTTCCCCCGGAGCCCCGTGCCAAGACTGTGCAAAATGTTCCCTTTGGACAGACCCCACGGTAAGTGTCTGGGACACCCCTCAATTTATCCCAGTCTTCTCTCCACCATCTCAAGGGGTGCCCCATAACTGTCTAGCTGTGGTTAAAAAAATGCCATTTGTTAGCACCCTTGAGGAACCTTCACATTGTGTGTGTGTGTGTGTGGTGTCATCCTCTTTCTAAGGATCTCTCAGTTTGGGTTGATTGAGCTACCAGATATAAAAAAAAAATATCGAGACTCTTAGAAAAAGTGTCAGAAAAGAGCAGCAGAGAGGATAAGCAGTCCGCAGGCTAAATCTTTAGGATGAACAATTGACGGAACTGGGAATGTTTAGTCTTTTTTTTTTTTTAAGTTTTTATTTTCAATTTTACAATACATTACAATCTTAAAAATACTTCAGATAAAAAATAAAACAAATTGATACACACCACTTTCAGTATTGCCCACCCATTTCCCCCCAAACTGCATCCACCCCCAACCAACTTGCCTCTTTTCTTCCTCTTCCTCACTCTCCACCTCTCCTCAACCTTCCTACTTACTTCTCACCTTCTTCTACCTTCTCGCTCCGGATGCGGTCCAGGGGAAATGCCCTAGCAATTCCTCTCTCCAAATTGAAACATTAATATTATATACAGTAAAACTATTTCTACTTTATCTGAACTACTCTGGGAATGTTTAGTCTTAACGAAGAGAAGGACTGGGGCTGACGTGATACCAGTCTTCCAATATTTGAGGGGCAGCCCCAAAGAAGAGGGAAGTCCAGCTGTTCTCCAAAGCACCTGAAGGCAGGAGAAGAAGAAACGGAGGCAAACCAATCAAGGAGGGAAGCAACCTGGAACTAAGGAGAAACTTCCTGACAGAATGATTAATCAGTGGAACAACCTGCCTCCGGAAGTTGTGGGTGCTCCATCACTGGAGCTTTTCAAAAAGAGACTGTCTTTTGTCTGGAATGGTAGAGGGTCTCCTGCTTAAGACTAGACTAGAAGATCTCCAAGATCCCCTCCAACACTGTTCTATGTTTTATGAGCTTTCTCTCTGTACACATCAGTAGAATCTTCCCTTTTTATACAGGATTTTTTCCTCTGTTGCTGGTGCCCTCTCATCATTTCTACCCTACCTCTCTACCTTCACTTTTCCACTGCTACCCTTTCTCTGTTGCTATTGAGGCATTCCCTGGTTGAATATGGGAACGGTCTGGTTTTTTGTTTTTGTTTTTTAAAGTCCTTGTTCTCCTCCTCCCTCTGAACATCCATACATCATGAAAGCATTTTGAGCTTATTGGGAACAGCTGTGCCCACACATGTAGGGGAAAAAAATGGGGGGGGTTGAGATTGATATATGCCTGTGTATCAAGTTACAGATGGAGGAACCAGTTCCTATTGACTCATTTGAAACACCACTTTTAAATATAAACCCCTCCATCCTGAAATAATTAGCCAGTTATTCTAGCTTGATAAAAAAGAATGTAAAAATATCTTACGGGAGGATTTTTTAAATTTTTTATTTGGGAATTGGAAAGGAATATGTCTGTCGGGGAAGCTTTGGGAATCAGATTGTCTTGCAGTTTGATCTAGGACTTTGCTGTTTACACTCTTTCTGCTCTTTGTGTGTGTGGGGGGGTATTTCCCTTTAGTTTTCTGCACCTGGTCATGGTGACTTGCAGTCCCGAGTGAAGGTTAGCAACTTGAAACCCCAAGGCCGCGAGCAGCCCTTAGATTCTTCTGGAACTATTTTTCATGCACTTTGTTTTCACAAATCAGCACTGAAAGATCCCAAGATACAGCATAGCTGATTTTTGAAACTTATCTATCCCTTCAAAAAGCAGCCCAGGCTACAGTAAAAGAAACAAGAAACAGAAAACAAAGCAAGTCTTTTTGTATATATGTAGGGAAAAGTACAGGCAGAGCCTAAGGGGGTGGAGTCAAGAGAGGAATCAGCCTGGAGTCCTTACATTGCCATCAGTGCTCTTAAGTCAGGGGTCTTCAAACTTGGCCCTTTGATGACTTGTGGACTTCAACTCCCAGAATTTCATCAGCCAGCATGCCTGGCTGAGGAATTCTGGGAGTTGAAGTCCACAAGTCATCAAGGGGCCAAGTTTGAAGACCCCTGCTCTAAGTCCAACTCCTCTTGAATTCTGTTGACTCTTATCTAGGGCCAACTTAGTGCTGTTTATTTGTTAACTAGATCCTTATGTGTATAGACATGAGCAATAAACCAGCTTAACTAGATTATGTGGTCCTGATTGTTCCTACCGGACAATAGCTCTGCCTTTGGGCCGCCCACTTGCAACCTTGGCCATACCCCCCAAATACACAACGTATCCTCCCATCTACCAGAAACTGCCCTCTGTTGCCTTAAAAGGCTCAGCCCTGGAAAGAAAGATGAGGAAGGATAAGGCACAAACCTAAATTTGCAGAAGAGAGTAAGGGTTCCTCCCCCCCCCCGTTTACTTTTCACCATACCTAATATTTAAAGTTCACCCAGCAATTCTTATCAAGGAGGTGGGCTCCAGCCAGGAAAAAGGAAATGTGTCTTCACAACAAAGGCACATCCCAGTAAAATTCCTTCCTTTTGGGAGGTGGTAGGGCTGCTGACTGGAAAAAGGGAATTTTAAAGTCCTTTGAAACAGTCTAGATCAGGGGTAGGCCACCTTGGCTCTTTGATGACTCGTGGACTTCAACTCCCAGAATTCCTGAGCCAGCCTGGCTCAGTTTGGAAACCTCTCCCTGTCCCCGCAACATGGCTGGCTGGGGAATTCTGGGAGTTGAAGTCCACGAGTCATAAAAGAGCCAAGGTTGTCTACCCCTGGTCTAGCTAGAAACCATCCCTCAAAAGCTCAGTCTTGGTTATTAGAAAAAAAAGGGATTGTGGTGTAATCTTATAGAGAGAGGTTTGATTAGAATTGTACAATATATGTATAACTGACAGGAGGAAATTTGGAAGCCACTTCTGTCTGTTTTTCATTTTTTCTTTTTCTTTTTTCTATCTCCTTTTCTCTTGGTCTCTTCTTTTCCTTTCCTTTTTTATTTTTCACATTTATTCACATTTTTCCTTCGAATGTGTTTTTTAACTATGCGTAACATCTTTAAAAAAAAAAAAAAAGCTTAGTCTCCTACCAGACATGTCCAAACTTTTCAGAGCAGTCTTCCCAGGTTTGAGGCAATTTCCACCACGGATTGTCTCTGTAGCTGTTCTGTGCTTTTTATTTCCCAATTTTCCCAGACAGAAATGCGAACACATCGTTTTCTGTACTCTGCACAACTCCCGCCCCCCCCACGACCGATCGTGCCAGAATAAATTAATGCAAAATTGTTCAGACAGTTGCAGTCTGTTATGCCTGAGGAGCAACATGCTGCAAAGTTGGCTTGTTGGCACAACTGATCTGTTTTCGACTTGTATTTACTACGTCCAGAGTAGTTGTGAGTATCGTCATCGTAACAAGTTCCCTACGGCTGCCTGTTCAAGTACATGATGAAGAGAGAGAGAGAGAGAGAGAGAGAGAGAGAGAGAGAGAGAGAGAGAGAGAGAGAGAGAGAAGTAAACTTTGGATATTAAGCAGCCCTTTCCGGAGAAAGGAATTTTGGAAGATGCCCCACAGCGTCGGCTGTACAGCTGATAGCTACAAATCTTCCTTTTTTTAACATTGTCCCTTAATAAATGTCAGCCGAAAATTCAGCCACATCACACATTTGCTTCGGGTTCTCGTCTCAACATCCCCGAGGCGTTTCAAGTGCAGCATAAAAGAATTCAAACCATTGCTGTCGCACGCCAAGGAAGTCACCGCCAGGGATTGGAGTAGACAGGAATGAAATACTGAGACAGTTCATTTAGCAACGGTAGCAACAAAGGTCGTAAAATGGGGCCAAGCTCATTTAACAGCTGTCTCACTTAGCTGTGGAAATTTTGAGCTCAGCTGTGGCCGTAAATCAAGAACTACGTGTATTAGGACAAAATTCAAGGCAGGCATCAATATTAATCTGAATAATGAGGAGGAGGAGGAAGAAAAAAAAGAAGAAGAAGTAGTAGTATAGTAGTAGTAGTTAGAAGGGACCTTGGAGATCATCTAGTCCAACCTGCTGCTTAGGCAGGAAACCCTATACCATTTCAGACAAATGGCTGTCCAATCTCTTCTTAAAAGCTTCCAGCGTTGGAACATCCACAACTTCTGGTGGCAAGTTGTTTCACTGATTAATTGTCCGCACTGTCAGGAAAGTTCTATAGTTTCAGACACAGCCAACAGTCATAAAGACATGTCAGTTGCCAAGCCTGTGGATTTTGATCACATGACTGTGGGGATGCTGCGATGGTCATTGGTGTGAAAGACAATCATAAGTCACTTTTTTCAGTGTCATCGTAACTGCGAATATTCACTAAGTGAACTATTGTAAGTCATTTTGCGTGTATCTCTTTCTGTGTGTGGACACCTACGCAAGTGTGTGTTTAGAGATGTGTTTCAGTAGGAGGATCTTTTGACCACAATACATAGTCTCCACAATTTCCATGTGGGGGACTCTGGAGACAATAGGATCCTCCTTTGTGTATGGCTCCAAATGATTTCCATGGCCCAGATTGTGCGAGTTGCAGACTCCTTATTTGTGATCTCTGTTGTGGGAACGAAATGCGGTACTTTGCAAGACCCACAGGAGTCCCAGCTTGGAAGAACTGTGAATGTGAACTGCTGACTTAGTGAATCCAGGAACCAGCGTTGGTTGGACTGAATCACGCCCGCCCACCCATCATCCTGCCAAAATGCTAATTGGTTCCCGTCAAACAATAAAACCGAGCGGGAGGGAGGGAGAGCTTTGGCAAAATTTCCAGACATATTTTATAAAATCCAAATTGGGAAACTGGCAAGTTTCAGTCGTGTGTGTGTGTGTGTGTGTGTGTGTGTGTGTGTGTGTGTGTGTTGCATGTTCAACTGAGACCGCATGTTTCCTAGGGGTTCGCCAAATCCAAAGGATTTTCCACATTACAGGAAAGGAAAATAGAGGACGACATTAAAAACTGAAGAAATGAAAACAAGATGTCCATGGATTTATTTATTTTTTTAATAATGAGATGGCCATTTGCTTCCAGCTAGTTTTGCAGTTGACATTAGTTTCCTCGCCCTTACCCTTCTTCTTAGCAACCCAGTCCACCGATTCTACATTTAGAATACATTGTCATCGTCATGATTTCAATTTATTGACTTTCGGGGGAAGAAATGGCAAAGTGGAGAAAGCGGAGTTGATAACTGGCAGAACAGAGAGCCAGCGAGTAGACCGGCTCGTCATAATTCCTCTCTGGACAAGGAGAGGAACGGAGATCGCTCACAAGTGCTCCGGACAGCTGCTCCTCGGGAGAAGACCTCAAGGCATGCTTTGAAGTGTTGTGGGTGAAATTTCAGGAACCAGAGATGGAGGGGGAGCTGTGAAATATTTGCAGTCCTGTAGTCAGGTGGTGGTCCGACGTGAATAAATAGTAGCAGACATGAGTCAAGGTCCCAAAGACAGGCATTCAAAAGAAATTAGATTTTTTTTTTCCTTGCAGAGGCTGGGGGCGCCTTCGTCCAGCATTTCAGATTTTTGTCTTTTTTTTTTTTTTTTTTTTTTTTTTACGTATACATTTAAGCATATCGACCTACAGCTCTCTTGACAGCTCTGGATCTTCCTGTCCCTTACAGGAGGACGATGAGAAGATAATCCATGAAATTCAGAAGGAAGCAGAGGAAGAACAAAAGAGGAAGAACGGAGGTTGGTTTATTCTTTGCGTTGGATGGGTAAGAGTAGCAAAGCTGCGTTAGGTGGGAATATTTGACCTTACCAATAAAGGAGAATGTATTCAGCTCAGGGTTGAAATGAGGGCTCCTTGGCTCTCTCTGAGCTGGGTGGTTTTCTTGCAGACATTTCAAGACCCAACTAGGTAACATCATCAGTGCTAGAAGGGAGTGGGGGGGAGGAGGAGGAGGAGAACTGTGTGGGATCCTTGGGTCTCTGTGAGCTGGGTGGTTTTCTTGCAGACATTTCAAGACCCAACTAGAGAACATCATCAGTGGTAGAAGGGAGTGGATTTGAGGAGGAGGACTGTGGGGTCCTTGGTGCTCTCTGAGCTGAGTTGTTTTCTTGCAGACTTTTCATGACCCAACTAGGTAACATCATCAGTTAGAGAATGGGAGAGGAGGAGGACTGTGGGGTTCTTGGTTCTCTCTGAGCTGGGTTGTTTTCTTGCAGATGTTTCATGACCCAACTAGGGAACATCATCAGTGCTTGTCCATATTTGTTGTTAAAGAAATAGGGATGTGGCACCCAGGTCAGTCCAAATGACCTGGTTACTTCATCCTATACTAGGAATGCAATTCAAACAGGTTGGCCATACGCTTTTTAAATTGTCACCTTCTTGCCCATCTTCTGTCTCATATATATATATATATATTTTTTGCAGAAAACAGTTTTAAGCGGATCGGCCCTCCGGTGGAAAAACCCGCAGAGAAGATCCCACGGGTCGAAGCCATCCCCAGGCCGGTTCCCCAGAACCTCCACCACCACCAAATACGCCCCTACCCATTTGGTCACCCCCCTTTCCCTCTCCCCCCAGTGCACCCCCTATACAACAACCTGGGCCCCATCAACCTCGGCCCCATCCCGGCCCCTTACGTCCCCCCGCTCCCCAACATGAGGGTGAACTACGACTTTCCCCAAATGAACCTACATTTGGAGCACAACCTCCCTATGCACTTTGGGCCTCAGCCTCGGCATCGGTTCTGATCCGGTTTTGGGAAGGTGCTGTTCCTTCTGGAACTTGCTGCAGGGAAAGTCCACACACTGGTTTTCGATGCTCCCTTCCCACTAAATTACAAAATCCACCTTTGCTCCGACTCCCTCCCACCCCCACCCCCCAGTTGTCTCGGCCCGCAGTTCAGACGTCCATCCCGACTCTCCGCTAGGTGCAGAGGAGCCCTAGTTTGCAATAAGGGTTTGTCCTGGCACTGTTGTCTTTCTGCAGGTGCTGTTGGTTGAGAAGAGGGCTTCCGAAGGAGGTGGGCTGGAGGGACAGCATTGCCAAAAATGTGTTCTGGTCAACAAGACAGCCTGAGCAATAGCGTTGCTCTTTCCATAGCTGTACGGCCTCCAGCATCTCAACCAAGCAGAGGTTGAAAGATGGTCGAGGAACACCTTGGAATATTTGAAACACTCAGGTGGCAGTCCTTAATTCCCCAAAACCAGGTGTGGTGGGGTCTTCTTAGCTTAGATCTTCCATAGCTTCCCTCTTCGGCTAGGAAAGCAGGGAATAGATGCCCTTTTTCAGGGGGGGGGTGTCAGGATTTCCTAAAGCAGGCTTGGAGAGACCCTCGGAAATTTGACATGCCTTGCTTGCAGCTGAGAGGGTGCTTTGAAAGCACAAACCAAATTGGTCTTGAAATGAAATCGGTCGTGTGTCCATCGCCCTGGCCTGCTGCTGCTTTTCTGCACTTGTGTCTGGAGTTGGAACCCTGATTTGGCTATTTAGGCTGAAGGATGATGGTGGCCGTGGAGGTTTTCTCTGTTGGGATGCGTGGTGTGTGGAATGGGATCCCCCGCTGGAGAAAGTGATGAGCGAGCTGGCTGGTCTGCAAAGAGGTCAAAGTATTGGGATTCTGGGAAAAGACAGGGGTGCAATCGGGTTGCGCCGCCTCCGCTTTTCTCTGGTGTTGGAGTGAATGCTCAGGTTGCTACCACGGCTGGGAGAACTGTCCCTATGCACCTTGGGAAAAGCCCTTACCTGGGGGAGCCCATGGTTCCAAACTCCCTCATGCATCCTTAAGCTCTTGAAGTCCAGGTGTGAACAAGTATCTACCTATACTCTTGTCTCAACATTTAGGTGTTGGCTTATTCAAAAGCACCAGTTAAGGGCTGGCTTTAAGGTCAGTGTTCCTCAACCTTGCTGGCTGGAGGATTCTGGGAGTTGAGGTCTACCCCTCTTAAAGATCCTATGGTTGAGGAACAATGGTTTAGATCAGTTGTATGGATGGATAGGCTCTGTTCTCCTGTTCCCCAGAAATCCCCTTCCATCTTTTGTACATCATCTTCACTCCTCTGTGGCTTCACTGGGAAGAGGTGTGACTTCAGAAGCACCACAGAAAGCTGCGTGATCAGCCAGCCCCACCAGAGCTTGGAGGACAAGGAAGTGAGCACCACAAATGGTTCTCGTGATTTCAGCCAGGAAGACTGAGGGTGTCTTCAGAAACAACTTCCCTTCCCAAATCAGCAGCCTTCATATCAGGTTGATGACCTTTCCTCCAAAATGTTGGCCAGCGAGGGTCTCTCTGGGGCAGAAGCCTGGAAGTTGAATCCATCCAGCATCTGGTAGATGCCAGGTTGGGGAAAAAGACATTGCAGAAAATGCTTTTCTCCCTTTTCTTCTGCTGAATGTAAATCCAACTGAGGGAATCTCCGCATGGTTTCATCTTAGGCCTTGGCTCAGCTCAAGCAATATAATACAGATGATGGTTTTGAACCTGGACAAGCTCTGTTTCTCTCCCAGACCACCCCCTCCCCCTCCAAAAACAAATCTTAATTTCCTCCATGAGAAAAAACTTTATATTCCTTGAATGAGAGGATTCTTTGGCCATAGCAAAGAGGACCGAGGCCCATAAATATTGTGATTTTTTTTCCCCCTGCTCCATTTCAATAGAAGTGTGAAAAAGAATCAGGGAACCGCCAGGAAGGTGAAGCCTATTACGAGTTTCTCCCTTGATTCTACCTACCTGTTTCCTTTACACAATATTATCAAATCTGCTTTTATGTTTTGTTTTGTTTTTTCCCTCACGGCTATCAAAACCGTTGAAATTCTCCCCTCTCCGCTTTCCCTTTGGACGTGATCATGCAACTCCCGAAACTTTACCGATAGGCTTTTCTTTAAAATTATTCTGAAATGAACTGGTGATGCTTTGAATAGCTGCTCACCACCACCACTACCACCACCCTGGGTAGGGTGCCCACAACCCAGCGAGTGTGTGGCTACGCGGCCCACGTAATTCCTGATCAATAAGGATTGATCAGACTCATCGGTAGCAGAATATTCCCGTGGCAAACTTTGGACTCTTTTCCTTGGTGAGAAAATGTGATGCACTCGCCAGTGTAGGGAATTTAATCTGATGGGAGACCTATTCCCGAATTTCTTTCCATCCCAAAGTTTTCTGTTGTCTTCCATTCCATGTGTCGCCATTCCGGTCCCGTCTTAGCCACGTAGATTCAAAATAGTGTTTTTTCCTTTAAAAAGCCAGCCACCTTTATTTTCATTGCCCCTTTCTGGATCAGATTGATTAGTCTTCGAGGTTATGGGGGAGCCCATGACTTTCTCTGCTTTGCTTTTTTTCCAAAGCCATGTTTTCTCTCTAAAACTCCTGTCGGTTGGTCTGCTTCCCCCCCCCCCACCGCCCCTCTCTCTTTAATCCGAACTTCCCTGAATCTTTTAAGCAGACATGCCTGTGAGTTGGGTGGAGAGTGGAATTTGTATGAAATTCCATCTTTTTTGGTGTGTTTTTTTATTTGTAGCTTCTTTTTATATATATATATATCTATATATCTCTCTAAAAGCGTTCATCTCTTTACGGGTAGACAGTGAGAAGTGTATGGAATTCCCCCCCCCAGTCCCCCGCTTGACATTTTAACAGGTACTTTCTTATTATCAATTTTGCAGTGTTGCATTTAACTTGCCTTAAAAGGTGGAGAGAGAAACCTAATATTTGCACTTAGCAAAAAGAGAGAGAGAGAGAGAGAAATTAATTTAAAAAAAGGAGCTAAGCCCTATCAAACGGGAGAGGTGCATGTTCTACAACTTTGTATAACATAGCTGAAAACTAAAAAAAAAAATAAAAAAATCCAAAACCAGGAAGAAAAAAAAAGAATATTTTTCTTTTGGTAGGAAAAAGAAAACTGTTCTAATCTGTGTGTAAAAAGTTTCTGTATTATATTGTAATTTCAATTTTTTTGTAATTAAAAGAAAATTGTGCTCCCTGTTTTTAATGTATTCTGGTTTCCTAATAAGATCCGTCCCAAAGAAGGTGGCCTGGCTCTCTCGGCCTAGCCCAAGGGTAGGCAACCTTGCCTCTTTTATGACTCATGGACTGTGCTGGCTCAGGAATTCTGGGAGTTGAAGTCCACGAGTCGTAAAAGAGCCAAGGTTGCCTAGCCCACAGCCGTGCCAAATAGGTCAGTTGCCGTTCTGTGCAAATTTTCAAACCCCGGCAGTTCTGTCACCGTCACTTTTCAACCTGGGCGAAAACAGTGGAAATTTTAATCACCAAAAGCTTAAACTCTCCTAAGTGCTCTTGTACGGAATGAATACAGGTAATCCTCAACTTACGAGCCCAAAATTTTGTTGCTAAGTGAGAACAGTGACGTGAATTTTTGCTCCGTTTCACATCCTTTCTTGCCTCGCTTGTTAAGTGAATTGCTTCAGTTGATAAGTTGGCATCCCAGTTGTTAAGTGAATCTGGTTTTTCCCCTGTTGAGTTTGCTGGCGAGAAGGTTGCAAAAGGGGGGGGTCACGTGACGACCTCCCCGGGACACACTGCCACCGTCATAAGTACCAATCGGTTGCAAAACCTCCGAATTTTGATCACACGATCGTGGGGATGCTGCCAAAGTCGTCAGCGTGAAAAACTATCCCATTTTTCAGGGCCGTTGTAACCTGGAATGGTCACTAAATGAATTGCAAGGTTAGGGAGTCGGGCATGCCCGCCATTTCTGAGTTTCTAATCTGGGATCAAGAAGAAAAGGTCCTTGGTGAGGGGTGACACTCCCTGCTGTGGGGGGGGAACCCACCCCTTAAATGAATGCGCAGCTGTGGGTAGAAAAATGACAAGGATGTCTCAACAGACGAGCTTCGCCTTTGAGGGGGTGAGCGGGCCCAGCGTCAACCTGTCTTCCCAGCCCGGTTGAGTGCCGCCATCGCAGCCGGCTTTGCGGAATCCAGTGAGCTGATCTGCATAAAATTACTGGTGAACGCTTTTTTCTCTTCCCCCCCCACCCCACCCCCCAATTTCCAAGGAAAACAGAACCCACCATGAAAAGCAAGCTAAGCCATTGGAAGCATGTCTCAACCTGGCTTTTGCTAAGTTTTCTTTGCGGGGTGCCCTTCTGAAATTAAGAGATTTTCAAATGTAACAGGAAATGGTGATTTTGCTCCAAGAGAACCGAGTTCATCCTTCCAGAGATGTGCAGTTCTTCAAAAGTCGTTCTTGAAAGAATTTCACAGGTCCACCCTTTTTTGATGGGAAAAAGGCAGAGATTAAAAATTTGATTTTAAAATCCGGTGTAATGAGGAGGCCGATTGAAATCTTGATTTTTAAAGAGGATTCTCAGTGCTTTATTCTACATCCGCTCTCTTCTGTCTTCTATTTTTTTTTTTTATTATTCATTTTCCCTTCTTCCCTCATTGCATTTAATGACACCGGAGGGAATTGGAAAGGTCAGCAGGCAGCAGCTGAGCCAAGGTTCAAAACCCCTCTGAAAACCAAGGGTGCAGTTAATTGCTCTTTAAGAAAGAAGTGAAGGTAATTGCCTTGGGGGGGGGGGGAGAAGAGAACCTCGTGGTGGCAACATGAATAGTTGAACCTTAATAGCCTTTTTTTCCTAGCTTGAGTCAGCCCATGGAGCCATGGCCAGACCCTTGTGATAGGGGAAGTGTTTTCTTTAAAAAATAAAATAAAATTACATTATTTATAGAGAAGCCCATCTCGTCCAAGTGACTAAGGGTGACTTAGAAGATTCAAAGAATTAAAAAAAACCTCCCACCCCCATCCAGGAATAAATAAATAACCAACCAGAGTAGCAAAGTGATCTTCCCCCTCCTTCACCCAAACATCTTCAGATTGCATAATTTTTTCTTAGGGGTCTCCAGAAGTGACCTTTGAGGTTCAGAGGAAAGACTGTTGAACTAAATCAGGGGTTCTCAACCTTGGCAACTTTAAGACTTGTGGACTTGAACTCCCAGAATTCCTCAGCCAGCTTTGCTGGCTGAGGAATTCTGGGAGTTCAAGTCCACAAGTCTTAAAGTTGCCAAGGTTGAGAACCCCTGAACTAAATTCTTCTCAAAACCTCCTTGGTCTTGCAAATACTTTGGACCTGAGTCCCCGTTAAAATAGGGGGGAGGGGGGAAGCTTTCTCTTTTGTTAACTACACACAATTGTTTGGGATTCTTGTCACTCTGCAACATCTGAAGAAAGCTTAAACTTGTTTTTTAAGTCGGAAGCAGACTTCAACTGAATACAAGCCACACTTCCGTTGAGTGTTGGCTAAGCTAAACTGGGTTTCTCGTTTTTTTTTCAGTATCTGGAGAAAAAAATAAAAAGAAAGCCGGGGGGGGGAGGGTCTGAAGAGCTCGGTCAGGCCTCATCACCATGGCAACGGGAAGGCCTCATCCGTCAGCTAGCCGCACCGCCGCCATTGTAAAGGGTCAGCTTCTTGCAGCTCAGGCAAGCCGTTCTGGGAGGCTAATTTGCCTTGGGGCGGATTTTAAAAAGATGCCCTATATAAAGTCTCCAGCAAAGCATCTTGGTTAGACTAGTTAGTATCCATGGGCCACGTTGTGGATTCCGGACTCAAAGAGCTTGGAGAGATGTCCAGGGTTTGTAAACCACCGTGGCTGTGTTCCTACCTCGATTTGGATTGCGTGACACAATGGACCCCCCCGGAAGATTGAAGAAAACAGATTTACGCCGTTTGCAACCTGGCTAGTTTTGCTTAGCAAGCCGCAGTTGAAGATCCTTACGATGGCTTTGAGCTTAGCAGCTTTGGTTTATTCAGCAAACCTTGGTTCAACAGTGTGGTTCCATGTGCCAAACCCATCAACATCTCAAGCCTAACAAGTTATTTGAGGGCTTAATCCAAAGTGTGAACTCAGCCATGGCTTGGCGTCGTCTTCCTCAGAGTGACGTCTCTGGGGCTCTCGACATATCCGAAAGATGCCTGATAGAAGAAAGGAGGCTTAATGTGACACACTGCAATTCAAGCCTGGTTAGGATTTGGGAGGGGAGCCCCCTGAACAATATCCGCATCTAGGCTAGACTGGGAAATTCAGAGTCATCCTAAAAAATTGAGTTATTTCCATCTTGCTGTGAGGGAGAAAAAGGGTCAGGGAATTGCCAGCTGAACTAAGGAGATTTGGCTGAGCTTTTAATTAACTCAGGGTGGTTTAATTACTCTGGCTGTGCAGGAAACTTAGTTAATATTGGAAACGGCAGAGATAGCCCAGCAAAGAAGACTCACCCTTCCTCTAAGCAATGGAAATAATGAGAGAAAAAGTGGAAGGACCTCAATTCTGCGCATGCAATGATTTGTTTGTTGCGCACCTTGTTTTAAACCTCACATTTGCTTGTGAGTTGCTGCTGGCAACAGAGACTGCAGTTTAAGAGCCTGACTTTCCTAAAGCATCTCTGGCTGATCATCTTTATAACATCAGCCGCAGCCTGAATTGGGTGCACAGAAGAGCAACAGAAAGCAAACATCAGAGAGAGGAAACGCCTACGGAGATTTTGTTTTCCGGCAAGCAAGTACCTTTTGTGTAAAGTGCCCTGTGCATCCTTTAGACAGTCTGATCTTTGTCGGAGCGCTTAATATTAAAGCCCCTGAGCTGAAGGACAGATGCACATTTCAAGAGATTTCCTGCTGAACAAAGCAGATTAAAAAAAAAAAAATTCCTTGAAAACCCACAATTGCTTTTTAAGGAGACGTCTAGCATAGCGCTTCAAAAGCAACCTCAGGATAATGGGGAGATCTAAAGTGTAATTGCATTTATATCTCTTTTACCCACCATTTCTATTCAGTCTGGGGGGGGTGAAGTTTATGATTGGGGTCCCAGAGTTCATTAAAGTTCTCGCGGGAAGGATCTCAGCTTATGAAAATTAGAAGCAATATAGTCAGTCAGAAGCCCAGTGTCTTGGTAGCTACCTTTGTATTCAACCAAACTAAGTGGGGAGGAAGGAATGGCTTTTAATGCCAAGGGCTAAAAACGCCATCTTGCTGGGCCTTCCAGCTTCCTCTTAAGGAAGAAAGAACTAAGTCTCAGGCTGGTTTCAAATATCCTGCTAAGTCAGCGATGGCGAACCTTTTAGAGACCGAGTGCCCAAAAACCACTCCCGCCCCCTGCTGTGCCTGCCCTGCTGTGCCTGCCCTGCCGTGCACCCTGTCCCCGTCCCCTGTCCCTGCCTGCCCAGAGGGCCACCCACTGCTTCCATGGCCCACTGCAGCGCCATGGTGGCCATGCCCTCTGCCCACACCCTGCATCATCTGCATGCGATGGAGAGCGAGGGCGGAGTCTTGTTCTCGCTTCCCGACTGCCATGTCCTTTGCTGTGCTGCTCCGCGTGGACCGTGCCAGGGGGCAACTCTCCGGGGGGGCTGCTGGTGAGGAGGGGGCTGTGGATGGAGGCGGGGATGGCAGGCGTGCCCACCGAAAGGGCTCTGAGTGCCGCCTCTGGCACGCGTGCCATAGGTTCGCCACCACTGTGCTAAGTCATAATGAGAGGTCCTTGGTGTTCTCTAGCTTTGTTGTTTTCTTGCAGACATTTCCTTACCCAAGTAGGTAACATCATCAGTGCTGGAAGGGAGTGGGGTTTGGGGCAAGGAGAAGGAATGTGGAGTCCTTGGTGCTCTCTGAGCTTTGTTGTTTTCTTGCAGACATTTCATTACCCAAGTGGGTAACAGCATTAGTGCTAGAAGGGAGTGGGGTTTGCTCTTTGTTTATATTGGCTTTCCCTGTCTGTGTTTGTGGGAGCATTCTTGATCAGGCTGCTGCTTCTTGAGTTGGTAATTCCTGATTGGGGTATGGTTTATTGCTTGGTGCTAACCCACCAACACTGTTGTGACTTACAGCTGTGCAAAGAGGACAGTCCCTTCCCCAAATGAACGTTTGTGGGTGAATTGTCTACAAATTAATGGGGAAGAGGAAAATATACTTTGCAAGGCAAACGGTAAAGAATTCTCTTTAGGAAATGCAGGGCAAAACCTCCCCTCTTTTGGGTCCTGTAAATCACATTGTTTTGTGTTTGTGTGCTTTGCTAAACCAGGGTACATTCTGTGGGGGAATCAGTATTGAAGAGAACACCAGAGAAAAGAAAAAAGTGCATGGCTCAAATCTCCCAAATGAATCAAAGTAACTTCTAAAAAACAAACAAACAGTCATATAGCCATTCGTTTCATATCTGTATGCAGGTTTTTATTTTGTCAATTCTCCATTTGATGCTTCTTATACAAATGGCACTTACAAAAGTGTTTTTAAAAGGGAAAACAAAAACAAAACGTTAACTAAACATTATCAGGATATGAGATGCTTTTCATAGCCACAATAGTCAAGGAAATAGGAATCAAGAATTCTTGACTTAAAAAACTGTTAACGGGAGGAAAGGCAGTGAGGTGTACATGATCCAGTTCCCACCAGGTGGGCAAGAGACAGGACACAGGACAAACTGTGAAGGCCAACAAACACGCCCACTGGGTAGTCATCTCTGCCCCCCCCCAAACTGTAGTTTCTTTCACAAGTTTTTATAGTTTCCAGAACTTTCCAGCACACTCCAGTTCAGATTCCCAGGTGAACCCCAGCTCAAGCCCTCTTTTACTCATAAGGCAAATAATTTTCATTGCTATGACGTTAGAGCACCAATTCCTATTGAAGACACCTTATGATGCCAGAGTGTGGATGCTTTTTAAGGCTTAGGACATGTCCCTGATGTTCTCTCGGTCAATCAAAAACCCACCACCCCTTTGAAAATTTGGCGAACCCCACTCCTGTGCATTCTGTAAAATTACGTGTTTAGCAAGTACAAATTTGGGTCTTAACAAATTCATGGATTTGGGTAGAAAGAGAACCAGAGCACCATTCAAGCAAAGTCCTTGCGGACTTCAGTGTAAATTGGGGGTCTGCTTGGCCTAAAGAAACAGAGATTAAAACCCCAAGAAGGCATCACATTGGACAAAAAATAATAATAAATCCACACAAAAGTGTGCGTGCACACAAGACTCTTCCGGGCTTCCCAAAGAGTTAAGCAACATATTACAAAGATCGAAGTTGGCTATGTAGAACAGCAAATCTAGTAGGGCGGCTACGTTAGGTTGGCTCAGAGGACAGGTTGATCTAAGTCACGAGAAGACACTTCCTGATCAACTTTCCACTTTTAGGGATTCTGCGGGGCAAGTGGGGGATCAAAGAAGCGGGCCCCGTGGGGCATGAGATGATGCTTGGAAGCCATCCTGGGGTGACCCTCATACAACTTGCTGAGAGAGAAGAGATGAGATGAGATTTGAGAAGTTGCTGGGATGCAGAAGCCAGAAATGGCTATATTGATTCAGAGATACAATTTGGAGAAGGGATGGTGAGAAGACGACAAATTCCAGTTCAGGTCAACAGGTAGAACGATGTAGTGAACGTGTATTGTGCAAATGATGCTAGTTTAAGGAACACAGATAGTTGGCGATGGAGGTTTCCCCTGAACATTTGTGGATGCACAGCATGGCTTCATCTCGGCTTGACCCTCTCCTCCTCCTATTGCCTTCCCCCCTCTTGTCTTTTATATCTCCTCCCAAATCTGTGAAGACACTTCAGTGGGAAGTACTTGGGAGGAAAACCAAGAGAGATCCACAGGTCTCAGTCCTCCTGCAGACTGATCTGTGCCCTGACTAAGGTTCTGTTCAACCGGAGATCTTTCTCCAAGTCAGTTGTGTCAGCTGCTGGCGGGGAAACCACTCTGTCATGGGTGAATGGTGGAGGGAAATAGGAGATGTTGAGATGGTTCTCCCCACCCAAGGCAAAAGGGAGGAGAAAAGACATGCGGACATATTAACGTGCAACTCAACGCCTTATCTGATGCGACCCTCTGTAGGCAACTGGCCTGCTCTAATGAAATTCTAAGACCCCAAATTATGAGAAGCTAGAAAAGAGGAGAGAAAAAAGGGAAATTCGACAACAGTTGCACCTTCCAAAGAGAAAGGGAAAGGAACCATAAGGCAGCATCAATGGCTTCTCGGTGTGTTTTGGAGAGATGTTCAGAGATGCTTTGGGGGGCACCTAAAAGCACACAAGGGTAGAAGGAACAAGGAATTCACTCAAGTCTTTGATGATGAGATGAATGGGTTGAGTTCCAGTACAATTCCATTCATAAAAAGCAGCTTGTTTTGGTCTGTGAGCATAAAGACAGAGCTTCTGTCCTGCTGTTTTGGTAACTCATCTTAGATTCGCCTCTTGACTCTTTTCGCCAACCCCTTCTCTCCTCCCATGGAACGACAAGATACGCTAAGCTACTTCTTCTCTATCTTTGCGAGAGACGGGGGCAAGAAACTTAAGATCCAAAGCCAAGAGAGCTCTTCATTCCTACTACAGATAATGCCACTTCAAACTGGAAGGCTCAGTTGGAACAAGAGTTACGGATGCCCACCTACGCTGAGCCAGAAGGTGAGGCACTGAAGACCCTCTCCAAAGTGGCCTCTTGCTGACCTCAATACTAGCTCTTCCTGAGGACTCTCCTTCTGAGGAGAAGACTTAACTGGTGGGGGATGGAGTGGACACGTGCTCCGATTCCAATTAGGAGAAATATATTCCTTTTCAATTCAGAAGGACAAGCAGAGGCCAAAGGAGAGATCTGTTCAGCTACCACCCAACTTTTCCTTTCTCCCTACAAAAAGTCCGTAAGGTGAGGGCAGGACATTTTTCTGCAAACAAATGATGCTTCATTCCAGTTTTAAGTGAACTCACATAACAAAGGGAAAAGGCCAACTTAAGCAAACAACAATGGCATGGCAGGCCAAAAGCAGCAGGCCAGTCTGAAAGACAGAATCCCTCTCTTTTGTAAAAGACACACCAGAACATATCAAAAGGAAATTCCTGCAGGAACTTGGCAACCGAAAAAAAAGGAAGTGGGGGAGAGAGGAAGCGTAGAGCGGAAGGGAAGGAGACTAAAGTGCATTTAATACTCCCAGAGGGTGGAGGGGTCAATGGCATCGGCAGAGGCTTTGAGGACCCCAGCATGGTCGCCCTTCAGGTATTTGTTGTTGACTTTAATGGCCACCTTGTTCAAATCGCAGAACTCAAAGAAGAAGTCCACGGGAGAATCGCTGCTGCTGGTGATGGACGCCTCGTTTCCCACCGTCCAGTATTTCCCAGTGGAATCTGCAAACGAGAAGAGGAAGAGGGAAGGTAAGCGCGCTCTCCGATTCATGGAGGCACCTCCAGCATGGCCACTGGATGGCTCTGTCAGGCACAAAGGATCAGGGCCATTTGTAAGATTGCAGCATGGAAGATTTATTCACACCTACACACAAGAATCCGGTCAACTAAAGTTCAACATTCGATTGGTGCTAGATAAAGGTCAACTGAGTTCAAGAGTTATTGGACTTGGATGTTTGTGGCAACAAAAACACTCTAGGCTGATGACTTGTTTAACTCTGCCCCCAGCTCTGCCTGCTTTTCTCCTGCAATCTCCAAGAGTCTCTCCCCAAACGATCTGAGGAACTGTGTCAAGGACCATTCAACTTGCCTTAACGTGAACTTCCTACTGTCAATCTTTTCTCCTCCGGGAGGTAATGTGGAAGACCATTGCCAGCCTTCTCTTTACTTTGGTGGTCCATAATCCTCCCAACCAGTCTGGCCAAGAATTCTGGGACATCAGAATTGCAGTAGGGCAATTGGTTGGGAAGACTGACTGATGCCATCAGAAGGGTCTGCACTTACCTTTGATATTGTAGGCACCATCGTTAAATTCCAGCTGAAAGATATCGTAAGAGGACCGATTGCAATCTAGGGTGCCTGTCATCTTCCGACAGCCAATGAAGCCATGTTCTCCACGGAAAACAATGATTGGCCGGTTGATCAGCTTCATGAGGAACTGCTCTGTCTCACCTACCATTGGAGAACAGAGGAATTACACACTGTTTGCCGGTAAACAAACTCACTTCCCACCCAATCACTCTAGCTCAGAATGCCCACGTTCTAACCAGTGATTGCTCCCACAAACGCCTGGCTTCTCCCAACAGGCAGACGTACAAAAAGGACTTACTGGCAGTTTCAACGGTAGCAGCAAGCTGCCCATTCTTCTTGGCAGTGACATATTTGCCGTTGGCAGCCTTCAGAGTGATACGCCGGTCACACCACTCAATGTCGAAGTAACAGTTGGCATTCCTGCTGGAACAAAGGAAGATTGAAAAGGACCTCTCAAGCCCTCAATCAGGAGGACCAGAAGGAGACCAGGAAGTCCACCCCTTGTCAGGACCACAGTGCAACCAAGAACGCTTTGGGCACACCTCAAGTGACGATGGTGGCTTTCTACCTAATTTCTCTGCAGGCTTCTGAAAAACGAGTTTTCTTCTGCTAGGGCCTCTGGAAAGCATGGTCCACCCATCCCTACAAGTTTAATGGCCAATGAGTTGAATCTTTTCCAACCCACACTCATTTTTTCAGATTTATTTATTTTCTTAAGCCCTGAGCAAGTAAACGTTTACGGCAACAGCGCTGTAGACGTACACAAAACATTTCCAATTTGAGATAGATTGTTTGGGTATTCTGGATGCTTTTGGGAGTTTGACACCATTGGGCTTCCAATTCAAAAACCTTCCAGAATAGTCCAAGCAAGCTATTGTGGAGTCAGATGCTCTTTTATCTTTGTTTTTGCACAAGGGCTGTTTTAAGTTCACTGTGTCCGAATTATTCTCTCTTGGGAGCAGATAGTGTTTCTGTGCGTGTACAGACACACCCCATTGAGCACTTGGTATTTTGGAAATTAAAACCCCGTTCCCCACAGGACCAACGGCTGGGCTCTTCATGCTAAGCGAATGGGTTACTTCAACTACTTGGTTAAATAAACTAGAATGGTGGAATTCCTACAGCATGTTCGAGCAAGCAATTTAAGGGCTTAGAGCAAAGCAAGAACTCAACTGTTGAATCATATCCCATTCACACAAACATCTTAGCAACCTTGGGGTAAGCAGAACTCACTTAGTTGAGGCAGTGGATTGCACCCCACCATTGGAGGTCAGAGTCCAGTACTTCCCTGTACAAGTCCTGAAGGTACATTTTTTGGTCTCTCTGTTGACCTCCATCTGGAAGGTCTCTTGGTCCTCCTCTTCATCTTGGTTTGCTGAGAGATCGATCCCTAGAAGGGGAGACACAGATGGTGGAGGGAGTCAATGCCAGCCCTTGTAGGCTGCTCCTAGATTGCTCTCCAAAGTCTATCTGTGTATACAGGTAGTCCTCGTTTAACAAGGCTGGGGAATTCTGGGAGTTGGAGTTCACAAGTCTTAAAAGTTGCCACACTTGGACATCCCTGCTTTAGATTCTTCTCAGAGCTAACAAATCTAACCACACAGAATTCTGGAAGTCAAAGTCCACATATCTTACAAAGTTGAGAAATTCTGCTTGATACTGTACAGGAGTAGGATGATGGGATTGAAAAACCCATGGCTGGTTGGGGAATTCTGGGAGTTGAAGTCCACAAGTTGCCCCAGTTGGACACCCCTGTCAAAGACACTGCTCACACACACACACACCCAGGGAGGAATCTAACAGAAAATGCTTCATCGGCATGCACACAGACCAACACCAACTGCTCACATGCTTGGCAAGTCCCACTCTTGAAATTCCTCAGAGTCCAGAATTACATCCTCAGCATTTGTGTCTCAGCTCCATTGAGCGCAAAAAAGCTTCAAGGGCAGAGACAGCCAGCTAAAGAGACAATGACAAGATGGCAGGAACCCCGTGGAGAAAAGAGAAAGAAAGAGGTGGAACCAGCAGGTGGGAAGGCAAGCTTCTGAGCTAGCCCCATAGAGAAGAACTGAATAGCAGCAAGATGCCATCCAGACGTTGTTCAGGAAGGCAACTAAGGAGCCTCCAGTGATTAGGCACCATTAACGAAGGTGAGCCAAGCACAAAATGGACACTAGAACAACTCAACCCAAAGTTCTTACTTGAGGCCCCAATGACCAGACTCCAATTTTCTCTATTCTCTTTGGAAGTACACGGAATCGGCTGAATCTTCCTGGTCCCACTCCAACAATCTAACCCATACAGCACACAGTTAGTCTTTAAAAGGGGTAGACACCGCCTAGAATGGGGTTGTCCAACTGGTGGCAATTTTAAAGACCTGTGGACTTCAACTCCCAGAATTCTAGGAGTCCAGAGGTCTTCAAGTTGCCAAGATTGGACACCTCTGGATAGAATCTGCCCACCCAACTCCTCCCTGGCAGTTTCAGAGGTTCCTCTTCTGAAGACTGCTTAGACTTTCTTCAATCAAGATTCTTCTCTTGATTGCCTTCCTGTCCATTCGCTCTAAGTGCAGGCAGTCAATTAGGCTCCTCGACTTTTCTATCTTATAAAAATAAACCGATCTTGCCAGTAATGCATCAACTCCATAAAACATCTGACGTGCAAAATCAGAGCAACAAAGGAAACTGGGCGGGTGGCCGGGGGGGGGGGAGGAATTGACCCATCAATTCTGCTACCTAAGCAAAAAAAATGGAGAACAAAGCTCCCTTCTACAGGGAGTCCTCGGTTTACGACCACAATTGGATCAGAATAGCCATGGTAAGCAAGGCGGTTACTGAGTGAGTCACGCCTAATTTTATGACCTTTTTTGGCCAGGAATGTTAAGTGAATTTGGTTTTCCCCATTGAGTTTGCTTGTTGGGCGTTGCCCGGGAAGGCTGCAGAGGGCGATCAGCTGACTCTGGGATTTTGCAACGGTCCTAAATATACGTTGGTTGCAAAGACCCTATGGGGACACTGGGATGGTCATAAGGATGAGGACCAACATGTCCCTTTTTTCAGAGCTGTTGTAACTTTGAACAGTCATTAAGCCAACGGTTGTAAGTCAAGGGCTACTTGTAGCTCAGGAATGGACACCCATCGCTGGCGTACGTCTTCCCAAATTCTGCCTCTGGCACCTCCAGCGAAGCAGAGCCGCTGCTATTAGAGCAGAAAATTCTGAATTATGGCCAAACAACCAGCGACGTATATTTCTATGGAAACTGCATACATGGAGACCGCATGTAGCATCACGGAAGAAGATGACAGGGACTTAAACCCACTCTGTTTATACAGCGGTGGCTGGATTTAGCTAAAAGCTGGGTGTGTTTGTCAACGACGCACACCCTCCTCCTGGCAGAGTGTTGCCCAGGCATCTCAGCCCTCTAGGCGCCCACATAAAACATGAAAACCTTCTACAAGAAATCCCTGGATCAAGAGTCCTCTGTCCAGAGCCCCTAAGCCCACTCATACCTGCATTTCCATACAATCAGCATGCTTGTGGTTTTATGCTACAACCCACAAGAGTGACATTCCAAACTTGGTTCTAAAGAGGTTTTGAAACCTTAAAAACCCCTTGGTTTCAAACCAAGCTTTAAAACCATAAAAACTTGATTTTAAGTGCTTTTTTAAAAAGGTTTTAAATCCTTAAAAAATCCTTTAAAAAAAAAAAAAGGATTTAAAACCCCTTTGCTGGCTGGGGAATTCCTGGGAGTTGAAGTCCAGAAGTCTTAAAAGTTGCCAAGGTTGGACATCCCTGTTCTATGGCCATTCCTGGGTGCTACAGCCCTTCTCCATTTCTCTCCAAAGCCAGAAGTGGGCATTTCTATCAGGGTGGGGTGAAGAGGTGGAGAGAGCAAGCTCTGTTCAGCTTGGACCCCAAAAGCACCATTGGCAGATCCCAGAGCAGGCAGGCAGGCAGACAGGCGTTTAATTATCAGCAGCAGGGGAAAGCCTGACTCATCACAGACTTTTGCAGGAAGAAAGAATTGGGGGATGGAGGAACCTGGATTTGCCAGAAGGAACACAAGATTGCTTCAAATCCAAGAAAAGGTGCAGAGAAGAGCAACAAAGACGATTAGGGGACTGGAAGTTAAAAGATATAAGGAACGGTTGCAGGAACTGGCCATGGCTAGTCTAGTGAAGAGAAGGACCAGGGGGGACATGATAGCAGTGTTCCAATATCTCAGGGGCTGCCCCAAAGAAGAGGGAGTCAAGCTATTCTCCAAAGCGCCTGAAGGCAGGACAAGAAGCAATGGATGGAAACTCATCAAGGAGAGAAGCAGCCTGGAATTAAGGAGAAATTTCCTGACAGTGGGAACAATTAACCAGTGGAACAGCTTGCCTCCAGAAGTTGTGGGTGCTCCACCACTGGAGGTTTTTAAGAAAAGGGTATAGAAAAGGTCGGGAGCCACTGAATTACGGCCTCGTGAGCAGCCTCTTTCACAGGACAATATTTGAAGAGGAGGCTTCGTCTCTCTCATTCCCATTCTCTCATTCAGATAACTTAGCAAACCCTACAGAGCAGGTAGCTAGATTGTGTGCAGCGGCACTAAAGATTTGTCGGAACCGGAAGCTCAATCCATCATTTTACCAACTATTTTACACCATTAATGCAGCAAATTTTTCGGTGTGGTTGCATCTATATTTTTTGTTCTATCTAATGACCATAGATAGGCCTTCACAATTTAAGGGTTAATATTATAGCTTGGGCCGTGTTGTGTTGTTGTTTACCTGCAACTGACAGAAGAAGGGGTGCCAGATTATGATCTTAACATAACAATAATTGTTATTTGTTACTTTATTCTAGAATGTTTAATTGGATACTCCTTGAGCATTTTTAATTGTACTAGTCTTTGACTCAAACTGACCGATTGACCCGGCAAAGCCCACCCCCAAATCAAGGACTGCTTATTCGGCACATCCTGGCTTAAGCCTGCAGGTGCACCCACTCCCTCTCTTCCTTATTACCCCAGTCTGCAAAACTGCCCCAGGAGAGCTGTTTTCCCATCAAAGCAGCAAATCAACACAACCCTGCAAACTCACCCCCCCAGGGAACAAGGAGGAGGGTGTGAGAGTCACATCTGGCAGATGGAAGGAAGGAACCCCTTGAGAAGATCAGCCATCGCCAAGACCTGCGGAGGTGCAATTTCACGCCTTTCCTGGACAGAAGAACGTTACTGCAAACTGAAATCTCGCGCAGAGGCTAAGGCACCAATTCTGGTTCTGCCCTCATGCCATCTTTTAAGGCCCGCCGTGCCAACTAGGTCCATCCTTTGGGCATCTCCGGAGAGCCAGCACGGGTAGCGGTGCCAACTCCGGCCAGCTGCACACTCTTGTGGATAATAAGTCAATTCACAGTGCTTTTTCCCAGGTTCACGGCTGAGCAAAAAATGAACCGGACCTCGGTCCAGAGCCAAGTAGCCACCTGTTGCCCTCCGAGACCTAGAGAGGCTGTAGGAACAGCCCTGATGAAAAGGTGGGGACTTCCCATCTGCTTGGCTCATCTTTATTTTTGTTTTTAGAAAGGGAGGGTGGTTTTCCAGCTCTGCCCTGCCCTGCCCTTCCCTACGCTAATTAAAGGGCAAAGCGTTTCCACATTGTTCTTTGGCCAAGCTAACCAAAACAGATTCTCTCCATCCCCAAGGAGGGTAGCAGATTTTTAAGGAGGGATCTCTCGACCCAAAGCTTTGCAGGCTTTTGTGCTTTGAACTTTTCTCTCCCTTCATCCAGAGTCATCCCTGCCTCGGCCCCCAAGAACAGGGATTCAGCTCTTACCCAGGATGCTTTGCTGGTAGAACTTATTTCCGCAAGATCAATCTGGGAAGACATCCTAAGGGTCTTAGCCGCGGATCGATGCAAACTCTGCGTCATGTTAATGGAAAATGGCAAAAATAAAACAACAAGTCTCCACTCAGCAATACTCCACTTTGGGGAGGTGGGGGGGGGTGCTTGGTGCTTCTCTGAGCTTGGTGGTTTTCTTGCAGACGTGTCGTTCAACTTTGATAGCACTGATGAGGTTACCTAGTTGGGTCATGAGAACTTCTGCAAGGAAACCACCAAGCTCAGAGGGCACCAGGGACCCCACAGTTCAACCCTCAGCTCCAAATATTCTCTTCAATAGCCTTCAAGGGAAACACTCAATTCATAGGAACCTTGCCCACCTCTAGAAGCAACCCCCTGGTGCCTCCCCCCATTCCTGAATGACCATCAAGCTGCTTGTTATTAGCCTCAACTCATAAGCCAGACCCAACAAAATGGACTCTATTTCTTGGGGAGGGCGAGAGACCCAGATCCTCTCTTCCCTACCCTGTAGGGGCTATCCAAGAACATATTGTAAAGGCTTCTCTCCTCC